GTAGTTTCTCATCCAATCTTTAGTAAGAGGTGATTATCCGGAAGTTATATTTATGCATTTCGTTTATGCTTAGCTCTAGTCTTTATTTCTTCATAATATCTTCTCATCATATTGTTGTCTTTATTTTAAGCATGAATAGCTAAATCTATTAGTTGGCAAAACCAAGAGGAACCTCCACTTGGGTATACCATTTCAACTCATTCTTCTCCCCTCTTTTAGAGTTCAATAGTTCGGTTTGACTAGGTTAAGGGTGGATAACTTGATGATTATTTGATATTCCGTAGGCCTAGTCACGGTTTATGCTTAGATAGTCACCAATCTTATCTCTAGCTTCCCACGAATCAATCGTTCATTTATGCTCTATTGGAGGAGGGTTTCGAGTTTAGATGGTATTCCTATTGGAGTTATATCTTGGATTTGCCAACATTTGTTTCTCATTTTACTAGCATCAAAACAACTTCACCNGTTTGACTGGGTTGAGGGTGGATAACTTGGTGAGCCTTTGATATTCCGTAGGCCTAGTCACGGTTTATGCTTAGATACTCACCAATCTTATCTCTAGCTTCCCACGAATCAATCGTTCATTTATGCTCTATTGGAGGAGGGTTTCGAGTTTAGACGGTATTCCTATTGGAGTTATATCTTGGATTTGCCAACATTTGTTTCTCATTTTACTAGCATCAAAACAACTTCACCAAACAACTTCCAACAATCAAAGATTTTACACTTTCTTTCTCCCAAAATCACCTTCCCCTCGGTTTACTTCCTTTCCCATGGAAACGACATTGGAATACCACTAAGTAAAACACGATCCACAAAAGTCTCATTGCGCTTGGGGAGCACTTTTGTTCACACATACTCACATTTAACATTTCATTCATCCACCATTTCGTTGCCCTTTTTTTTGACATCATCCCTAGGAGAGTGACATTCCCCTTCATTCATATACTACAGATGCTAAAAGGTGATGTTTAGAGGTTAGGACACAACAAGGAATTTTGTCAAGTAAACTCCATTTGTGAAATCTGAAGATCAACTTGCAGATATGTTTACCAAAGCATTGAGTCGTGCACGTCTTACAGCGATTTGTTCCAAGCTTGGATTATATGATATATATAGTCTAACTTGAGGGGGAGTGTTGAGAATACTAGGAAAGTATGTGTAAAGTGTTAATAGTAAGAGGATATATGTGTAATTCTTATTATTGTGACTTAACTATAAATACAAATGATATATGAGAGCTAAGTTAAGTTTTAACCTCTCTCTGTTTCTCTCTAATATTGTATTAATCCTCTACACTTAACATAGATCAAGTCTGACTTCTATATAACGAGACTATCGTCATTGGAATAAGCATCAAGTCTTCTGAATTTAGTGAGTGCATAAGAGTCTAGCTTAGTATTTTCATTTCAAGTGTTTGTTTCGAGTAAGTGTGAATGTTTATTGTGAGTGTGCAAGTGTAATGTATGAGTAAAACTACGGCTATCAATTTTCGACACGACACATTAACACGACACGAAATTAATAAATTGGATACAAAATTAAATGAGTTAACGGGTTAAAACAGGACAACACGCTTAAACACGAAAAAAATCATGTCAAAATCAGATCAATCCGATTTTGACCTAATTGACCCACATATTTTAAACGGGTTAATATGATTCAGACACGAGCACGACTTAACTCATTGTAGACCTATTTAACCCATTTATGGCAGTATAGTTTGTCTATTTTGTATGACTGATGTGGTCTTAATATTATTACTAATTAGTTCTTGCTTCTACTATGATAATTGACAGTATAATTTTTAACATTATTATGACAATACACTAGTATAATTTTTAGTTTAATTTTTGTGTTGAAACTTAAATGAATTTTAGTTAATTTCATTGATGAGATGTGATATGTTATTTGTAAAAAAATTATTTGAAATTTTGGATAAATGATTGAATGATGTATTTACTAGTAATGAATTGGTGTGAAAACAGGTTATGTGCATTAAACAAGTTTATCTTATGTGTATTAAATAAGTTAAACAAATCATGTTATATATGTTAACTCAAAAACGACATATTTATTAAAAAGNAAAACAGGTTATGTGCATTAAACAAGTTTATCTTATGTGTATTAAATAAGTTAAACAGATCATGTTATATATGTTAACTCAAAAACGACATATTTATTAAAAAGGTCAGGTTCGGGTAATCTATTTAATAGTCAGGTCAGGTTGGTGTTTACACATCTCGACACGATTATTAAACATATCAGGTTTGAGTTTTAAAATTTTTGACACAAACTCAAAATCAACTTGACACGAAATGACCGAACCCGACACATTTGACAACCCTAACTAAAACTTTCTAGTTGAGAGTTAGTAAAATCTTTCAGTATTGCATCTTTATTGATATGTTTCTTTAATTGTCATTTCCTATAACAATAGTCTATCCTTGCTCAATGTCAGAAGAGAGGAAAATGATATTAGACCGCAGTGAGAGTAGAAAGCACTATTAAAGACCAAGAAGTGACATGAAGATTATTCCAGTAGTTCAAAGACGATTCNTATAACAATAGTCTATCCTTGCTCAATGTCAGAAGAGAGGAAAATGATATTAGACCGCAGTGAGAGTAGAAAGCACTATTAAAGACCAAGAAGTGACATGAAGATTATTCCAGTAATACCTGAAATCAAGCTTGAGATACAAGAACGAGAAGCAGACTTCGGGCATGGAAGGTATAATCAACATGAGATTTTGATTATATATACCTGAGTAACTCTTTACTTATTTGCATGATAAATATTAGATTTGAGCTTTATCATAATCTAACGTTATTAGAAAGGAAAATCAAAACATTAGAACTACAAAAACGAGAATTAGAATCACGACCATCAACTTTGTTTAACTTAAGAATAGTTAGCATTCGAATTTGACTGTTAATAAGAAAACCAAATNAATCTAACGTTATTAGAAAGGAAAATCAAAACATTAGAACTACAAAAACGAGAATTAGAATCACGACCATCAACTTTGTTTAACTTAAGAATAGTTAGCATTCAAATTTGACTGTTAANATCTAACGTTATTAGAAGGGAAAATCAAAACATTAGAACTACAAAAACGAGAATTAGAATCACGACCATCAACTTTGTTTAACTTAAGAATAGTTAGCATTCGAATTTGACTGTTAATAAGAAAACCAAATTATCAAAAACAGAAAGCCCAAAAACTTAAAAGTCAACTACAAAGACTTTGTATTGGATAGTATATTATTTTAGGATACAACTATATTAGTTTGGAAATAGCGGGCAATAGTGTAATTCTTCCATAAAAAGTGCATGCATTTGGGAAAGAGTTTTTCACCATTCTCATTTCCTTTAAAATCTTAATTTCCAAAACTAGTCAGTTTCAAATTTATTTCCTAAATTCAGTCATTTTTAAAAAACCACCACATTAAAAACGTCATTCTAAAAAACACAAAAATGGTGGACAANCGGGCAATAGTGTAATTCTTCCATAAAAAGTGCATGCATTTGGGAAAGAGTTTTTCATCATTCTCATTTCCTTTAAAATCTTAATTTCCAAAACTAGTCAGTTTCAAATTTATTTCCTAAATTCAGTCATTTTAAAAAAACCACCACACATTAAAAACGTCATTCTAAAAAACACAAAAATGGTGGACAAAAAAAAAACAGCACAATATGAGTAACAAGGCATGTAGGAATGTAGAGTCCATCCAAGTAACTTGATAATATTGTTGTTTCAAGAGAACCAGATAAATTCNAACAAGGCATGTAGGAATGTAGAGTCCATCCAAGTAACTTGATAATATTGTTGTTTCGAGAGAACCAGATAAATNAAACGTCATTCTAAAAAACACAAAAATGGTGGACAAAAAAAAAACAGCACAATATGAGTAACAAGGCATGTAGGAATGTAGAGTCCATCCAAGTAACTTGATAATATTGTTGTTTCAAGAGAACCAGATAAATTCTCTGTTAACTAGCCAGCCTAGCGCTAGTTATTAGTCAGTTTGATTAAATGACTACCATTGCCATTGCCACCGCCACTGCCGCCACCGCCGCTCTTGTGGTTTCTGCTTCCGGTGATCATACTATAACTTGACCTAGGCAATTTGCTTAGCTTTCCAAATGAACTCTCGTAGTAGTCGCACAACTCTAACCTGGTGAAAATTTAATTCAGCTTTATTAATATCGTACAATTAATTTATTAAGAAAAGAGAAGCTCAATTCCATAATTTGTCAACTACCAGTATGCCAAGCACTGGAATGGTGCATACTCTCCATAAATTTGCGCAATGATTGCTCTTGCGTTACTCTTGTTGTAATTTCTTCTTCCATGGACCTGACAAAATCCACAACCTATATTAAATTTTCAAAAGAAACCACGCACGCACCAATTATGGTAGGGCAAACAGATGATGACTTGAGCGAATGAAGAAAAACTAATTAATGTTGAAACAAACCTGTCGTAAGTGTCTTGTAGTTTCGGTATCAACAGGAATGTTGTCATAAAACCCGATGCACATAAGAAGATTGGCACAAACAAAAGGACCAAATCCATTTATCTTCATCAGTTGGGCATATAATTTCTCAGCCGATGGCAACTCGCTAAGCTTCTCAAATTTCATCAGTTGAAGTTTACCACTCTCGACACTTGTGGCAAGTTCTAGGATTTGGCCCGCCCTATAACCAAGATTGCAATGCTTTCTCAAGAAAGCCTCGTTGAAGCTGGCTAGTTCCTTTGGGCTTGGAAAATTTCCCTCACCATCCGAAACTAGTAAATTTGACACCTCATTTGATTCATTAGTGGCTCGTTTTCTCTTCAATCCTTTCCTTTTAGGTACCGACAGTNGTTCTAGGATTTGGCCCGCCCTATAACCAAGATTGCAATGCTTTCTCAAGAAAGCCTCGTTGAAGCTGGCTAGTTCCTTTGGGCTTGGAAAATTTCCCTCACCATCCGAAACTAGTAAATTTGACGCCTCATTTGATTCATTAGTGGCTCGTTTTCTCTTCAATCCTTTCCTTTTAGGTACCGACAGTCCAGATATCAGGCGAGTTGTTAACTTCAACTGAAGCTTACAAAGAGCACGAGCCATCATCAAAGTCCTCACCCACCTACGAAAGTGTGAAACAAACACGANAGGTACTACACTGTGACTAAGTGACTAAGCTTGAGGGCATCATTTAACATATATTTCCCTCTCCATCTCTGAGATGCCCACTGGATGAAGTCACTCCATTGCCTCTGCTGCCATTGAATTCCACTAAGAAGCAAAGTAGTTGTCCAGATCTTGCAGGTGCATTCACAATAAAACNGACCTAAGAATATTGTCTACAATTAATTCGAACGAGTCCTATACATATACCTACATGAATTCGTATGTATATATGGATAACTATAGCTCGAATAGATTTTCATTTTTAAAATTATGNAAAGTCCTCACCCACCTACGAAAGTGTGAAACAAACACGACCTAAGAATATTGTCTACAATTAATTCGAACGAGTCCTATACATATACCTACATGTATTCGTATGTATATATGGATAACTATAGCTCGAATAGATTTTCATTTTTAAAATTACTATCTTAAAATCTGAAACAATTAAATAGTATATGAAACAAATGTGCCTTACACCCTATTTTATCTCTCACTCACTCAGGTATTTCAAAATCTTGTTTAAACTTAACGGAAAAACATGTGCAAGTCAAGATTTGTTACTTTTTAATCACATTAATAATGAAAGTACTGTGAGTTTACCGACTTAGATATGATATATTTTTTTTCCAACTGTTTGTTTGCATAAATAAACATTGGAATAAGTAAATATGAGAACTTATTTAAACACTTAGGAGCAGTTACAAAGGAGAATGGACTTCACAGCATCTTCAAACAATGATGGGGATCGAAAGAGGCGACCAAAATTTCTTTTCTTTCCTTCTGGATGCACATTTTGAAACTCTCTCACGTCACTTTCATCTTTGCTAGATATCCGCAGCATCCGCACCACCTGAGCCTGCCCCCAAAAGCATAAACAATCTTTGTTAGGATATTAGTATAAAAACAACAAATTAATTTTCAGATCACATCACTAAATAACAAGAATAAGCAACCAAGTATAAAAGAGCAATAAATAGAATAGAATAAAAGAAATAACATAAATTAAAATGAGTGGTCTATGAGTCCGAGAATCAGGTGAACACTATCCTAAAACAATTGAGCCTCCCGCATGAGAGCACTGACAGACATTAGCGACTCCAAGATCAAACTCAAATGCTCCCAATAGCACCTGCTCAATGGTTACACCCACTAAAAGGTAGGAGTGGACTTGACTCAAATTGAAGTTGTCCAAACAAACAATGTATATAAAATACTTCTATGACTGATTCTAAATAGGAAATACAATTCGTGGGAACAAGGATGCCGTAAATATAAATGAAAGCAAGTTGGACAGTGGGTGGCGGATTAGTACTATATATAAAACAATGGAGAGAAGAATCCAAGTGAAAGTTTGAGGTAAAGAAGTAAGATGGCAAAAGTCATGTATCAACTTGTATCTCTTCTTAAGCCCCCACCCAAAAAATTTTTTTTTTTGGAAGGTAAAGTAAACTTTTCTATTAATATTTGAAATTGTACATAAGAGAAGTGTATAAAACACATACAAAAGGCTAAAAAGTAGGCTCTGCATTCTAGGGGAAGTATAGGCCTTGAGACAGTACTTCCCACCAGAATGCAATGCCTAACAAAGAACAAAAAGTTTGGGAAAACTATAGGATACAGGACTATGAGAGACCCCATCTGTCAGCCATCATGTTGTTTTGCTGAGTCCACCTGAACCTCATGGAGATCATCATTTCTTTAATAGAATGGCTGATAAGTGTAACTAGAGTAGTGGGATCCCTAGATTGGCTTCTGAAAATTCTAGCATTTCTCTATTGCCATAGGTACTACACTGTGACTAAGAGACTAAGCTTGAGGGCATCATTTAACATATATTTCCCTCTCCATCTCTGAGATGCCCACTGGATGAAGTCACTCCATTGCCTCTGCTGCCAATGAATTCCACTAAGAAGCAAAGTAGTTGTCCAGATCTTGCAGGTGCATTCACAATAAAAAAATAAATGGTTATGGGACTCCGCATCCTTCATGCATAGGTTGCATTCATCTCCAAACTGGTTTGTGAATGTCATAATTATGTCCTTAGTGCTAAGTTTAGAGTTAACAGCAAGCCAAAGGATAAAAGCCATTCTAGGAATATTTTGTCCAAACCAAATGAGCTTGTGCCATCTGACTGGTGGTCCTGTTTCCCTAATGTGCTCCCAAGTTGCTTTTGCAGAGTGCTTCCCTGTAGAGCCAGGTAGCCACTTCACATAATCCACTCTGTTCTGATCTGGGGAGTAGCCTGGCATTGAGTTGGTGATTGTCTGAATTTCACCTGAGGCAGCATCCGGCCATCTCCATTGGTCACCTGAGACTATCTTGCTTACCTTGGCATCCTTAGGGATTCTAGTAACTTGAAGTATCTTTGCATCATTGCAAAGCAAGAGGGGGACCATGGGGTACCAGTTGTCATGCCATAAGCTAGTACCTTGACCATTTCCAATGATGTGAACCATTAGAGGTTTAAAAACTCCTCTGAGCTTGAGCAAACACCTCCAGTTCCAAGAGCAATATTGTGTGGCCTTTGCTTCCCAAAAGGATTTCCTTCTCAAGTGGTAAGAGTGGATCCATTGGTTCCACAAGGTTTCCTTATCATTGAAAAGTTGCCAGAAGTATCTGAGGAGTAATGCATCATTCCAGTCTCTGAGTCTTCTGATTCCCAGGCCACCACCTTTTTTAGGCTTGCATACCTCAGTCCATGCCACTTTGGCCCCGGTGTGCTTTAATTCAAACCCCTTCCATAAGAAAGATCTCATAATTTGCTCAATCCTATCCATGACCTGAACATGCAAGCAGAGGTGAGAGGCCCAAAACATATTCATACTGCTCAGCACTGAGTTCACAAGTTGAAGCCTTCCAGCGTATGAGAGAGTTCTGTTGATCCATGATTTAGCTTTAACCTCAACTTTTTCAACAAGACTAGAGCAGTGTTGTACTTTGAGTCTAGAGGAGATAAGTAGCAGTCCTAGGTATCTTATAGGAAGCTCACCATCCTCAAACCCAAGTAGGTTCCTTAGCTGGGTCTCTACATTTTGTTGAATTCCACATAGAAAAATATTGCTCTTAGTAGGGTTGGCTTGCAATCTGGATATGGACTGGAATTGGTCAAGGGAGGCTTTGAGGACTTGAACAGAAGTAAGGTCTCCATNGGTCTCTACATTTTGTTGAATTCCACATAGAAAAATATTGCTCTTAGTAGGGTTGGCCTGCAATCTGGATATGGACTGGAATTGGTCAAGGGAGGCTTTGAGGACTTGAACAGAAGTAAGGTCTCCACGATAGAAGAGAAGCAAATCATTTGCAAAAGACAGCTGGGCTAGCTTAAGCTTCTTACATTTCCAGTGGTATTTGAAATGGGGTTCAGACTGGATATTCCTATGGGTAATGAGGGACAGTGCTTCCATTGCTATAACAAATAAGTAAGGGGAGAGAGGGGGTCCCCTTGCCTTAGACCTCTGGCACTTGAGAAATATCCTGATAATTCTCCATTAATATTGATGGAGAATTTTGCTGATGTTATGCAAGCTTGGATCCACCTCCTCATGACGGGTGGAAAATTAACGCCTCAAGGATGTCAAACAGGAAGCCCCAATCAAGTGTGTCAAAAGCTTTCCTAAAATCCACCTTAATAACACATCTAGGAGAACCTTGGTTCCTATGGTAGTCCTTCATAAACTCTTGAGTGAGCAAGTTATTCTCACCTATATTCCTCCCAGCTATAAATGCAGCCTGATTTGGATTAATAATTTCAGGTAGGACATGCTTTATTCTATTGGAAGGCAGTTTTGAGATGGCTTTATAGAGAGTGTTACAACAAGAGATAGGCCTGTAATATCCCATTGAGGATGGGTTTTGGTTTTTTGGGACCAAGGCTATGATGGTATTGATAATTTCGTTAAGCAGCCTGCCTGATGATAAGAATTACTTGACAGCAGCAAAAACATCAGTGCCTATAACTTACCACGCTTTCTTGAAGAAATAGGCATTGAAGCCAGTTGGGCCAGGAGCTTTATGGTCATTAAATGAGAAGAAAACACCTTAGATTTCATCATCTGTAATCTCTCTGACCATCTCAGCTGCCTTTAGATCAAAGACTTTCTTCACAGCAATAGAGTGGAGCAGGTTCCTTCTGTCATTATGTGAGACAGATGCCCCCATTTCCCCTTAGCAGATTCTGGAAGTAATCAACAGCTGCATCCTTAATTGCTTGTTCATTGATTTGAAGAAAAAGGATGTATTCCTAACCCCCNCTGGAAGTAATCAACAGCTGCATCCTTAATTGCTTGTTCATTGATTTGAAGAAAAAGAATGTATTCCTATCCCCCTCCTTGAGCCACTAAATTCTAGGCTTCTGCTTAAAGAACACCTCTTCGTTGTTGGCTGCATGAGGGTATGCTTCTAGGAGATGTTTTTCCTCTTGCCTTAAAGCTATGTCATGTGGATTCTCATCTAGCTTTCTCTGGAATAGTTCCAGGGCAGATCTAGCTTCCTTAGCTTTAACTTGGACCTCCCCCAATTCTTTACTTAGTCTCCTGAAAGAGACCTTAAATTTTTTTGAGCTTGGTGCATACTTAGAATTGGAGAGAACCTTGGACTAGTTGTGACCATTCCTAAGAGACTTTGCTAAGGAAATCATCTCTATCTGCCAAGAAATTGAAGAATTTAAAAGGGCTATGTATCTTCCTGGCCTGGGGGTGAATCTGGAAAACTGGTGGAGAATGGTCAGAAACACCTGAGGTTAGGAATTCAGCAGCAGCTTGTTGAAATGCGGAGGTCCAGGACTCATTAACTAGGACTTTGTCTAGCTGCCTAGTTATACAGTTTCCTCCTTCCCTTGTATTGCTCCAGGGGTAGTAGATACCTGTGTACCTGAGATCCATCAGTTCAGCTGCTTGAAGACAGTTGTCAAAATCTTCCATAGGTTGGGTCCACCTACAGTTGTATCCCTCATGCTCTTGCAGACTTCTTATAGCATTGAAATCCCCAAGTAGGACCCAAGGCTTGGTAGCAAAAATCACTGAATGATGTCTTAAAACTCTCCATAGCTCTAACCTTTCACTGTCCTCATTTGAGGCATAAACAAAAGAGGCAATGAACTGGTATTTACTCTCCAGATGAAGCACTTGGCAGTGAATAACCGGGTCTGTCTCTGAAAGCTTTGTGACTTCAGAGATGGGATCCCATCCTACTCAAATCCTTTCAAACACATGACTGTCATAGTTTGCTAATCAATTCCAGCCTCTGTGAGTGTTTTACATAATTAAATCTCTATTGATGCTTCTAACTTTTGTTTTAACAGTTCCCAAAAGGCATAATCCTTGCTCTTGTATCAGCTTCCTTATTTCTTCCTACCTAGAGCGCTTGTTCAACCCTCTGATATTCCAGCAGGCAACCTTCATTTAAGGAGGGAGATTTTCCTGAGCATAGAGTGCTCAGGCACCTTTTACTTACCTTGGCTGGACGTTTTCTTCTTCACTTTCTTCTTCTTACTATGGGTTGCTTGCTTGTCATGAGAGGCAAGATTTGAGGAGATGGTTTCCTTGGGAGCACGAATTTGAAGCTCTGGAGGAGTAAGGTCTTGAGGCTAATTCCATCACAAGTTTACCTCTCTCTATGTCTAGATTGGCAAACTTATTTGGTGAATTAAGAGCTACTCTGCTAGTTTCAGGTTCTGACCTTTCTGCTATCATGATCTCAGTGACTATAGAGTCCTCCGGGTTTGGATCCTTTGTGCATGGTGGTGGCATTTTCTAACGTACCCACTACTCTCGTGACTTCCATTGAGGCTAATGCTTTGCCCTTGTCCAGCTTGCAAGGCTGATTCCCGACCTTTGTATGTGTAGTTCTTGGGCAAGCCGCCATCTCATGCCCAAAGACTGCATGTTCCACAGAGTTTTGGTCTCCATTGGTATTCTACAGTAAGTTCCACTAGCTCTGAATTCCCATTATTGTCCATTCTGAGGTCAAAACTTTCTATCAGCTGTTCATTTGCATTAACTTCAACACGAATATACGTGCATAGCTCAATCTTTTCTTCCTTGCTGTGAGTGTGTCTGCATACAGAGGCTTTCCAATTACACTTGTGATGTAGCTGAGCACCTCTTCACTCCAGAATTGAAGGGGGGTGTTTTAAATTTTGACCCAGATAGGGGCTGATGTGTGTTCCTCTTTAGTGAGACTTATGTTAGGATACCATTTTTTAAGAATCGATGGCCTACCCGAAAACAACCATGGTCCAGATTCAAGAATTTTGTTTCTTGTTTCATCATTCATGAACTAGAAAAAATAAAAGCCATTTTCATTAGCCAGAACTTCCAAAAGGCCTTGGTTATCCCATAGTTTGTGAGCAATAAAATTAAAAGAAGAGAAAGGAAGTCTCTTCTCAATGAAATATCCCCAAGGCAAGTTTGCCATTCAAGGCTACCTTGCTTGCCAACCTCTTCAGGGGGTTTCACTACTACCCTGTTTTCCTCTATTAGAGGCTCAAAACATTTCAGATGAAGTACCTGATGCTGGTAGTCATTGCGTGGATCTGTGGAGGACGATGATGCCTTTCCATGCTTCAAAATTTGGCTCCAAAGGTTTGCTGGGTGCACCTTTTTCCTGGTGGGCTTTATCCAACGGTCCAATCGGAGGGAAGTAGCAGCCGTAGGATTTTTGATCACTTGTTTATCCTTTGACAACAAAGCATCCTCTGCAGTGGCCTTGGAAGTGTATCCAGCAGAGGTGGACTTGCCTCTTGGGCAGTGTTGCCCAATTGCCTTTATCTTTTGAGCAGCTTGTATCCCAATTAATGGCTTTACTAACAACAGCTCCTTCCTTNACTTATTTGGTGAATTAAGAGCTACTCTGCTAGTTTCAGGTTCTGACCTTTCTGCTATCATGATCTCAGTGACTATAGAGTCCTCCGGGTTTGGATCCTTTGTGCATGGTGGTGGCATTTTCTAACGTACCCACTACTCTCGTGACTTCCATTGAGGCTAATGCTTTGCCCTTGTCCAGCTTGCAAGGCTGATTCCCGACCTTTGTATGTGTAGTTCTTGGGCAAGCCGCCATCTCATGCCCAAAGACTGCATGTTCCACAGAGTTTTGGTCTCCATTGGTATTCTACAGTAAGTTCCACTAGCTCTGAATTCCCATTATTGTCCATTCTGAGGTCAAAACTTTCTATCAGCTGTTCATTTGCATTAACTTCAACACGAATATACGTGCATAGCTCAATCTTTTCTTCCTTGCTGTGAGTGTGTCTGCATACAGAGGCTTTCCAATTACACTTGTGATGTAGCTGAGCACCTCTTCACTCCAGAATTGAAGGGGGGTGTTTTAAATTTTGACCCAGATAGGGGCTGATGTGTGTTCCTCTTTAGTGAGACTTATGTTAGGATACCATTTTTTAAGAATCGATGGCCTACCCGAAAACAACCATGGTCCAGATTCAAGAATTTTGTTTCTTGTTTCATCATTCATGAACTAGAAAAAATAAAAGCCATTTTCATTAGCCAGAACTTCCAAAAGGCCTTGGTTATCCCATAGTTTGTGAGCAATAAAATTAAAAGAAGAGAAAGGAAGTCTCTTCTCAATGAAATATCCCCAAGGCAAGTTTGCCATTCAAGGCTACCTTGCTTGCCAACCTCTTCAGGGGGTTTCACTACTACCCTGTTTTCCTCTATTAGAGGCTCAAAACATTTCAGATGAAGTACCTGATGCTGGTAGTCATTGCGTGGATCTGTGGAGGACGATGATGCCTTTCCATGCTTCAAAATTTGGCTCCAAAGGTTTGCTGGGTGCACCTTTTTCCTGGTGGGCTTTATCCAACGGTCCAATCGGAGGGAAGTAGCAGCCGTAGGATTTTTGATCACTTGTTTATCCTTTGACAACAAAGCATCCTCTGCAGTGGCCTTGGAAGTGTATCCAGCAGAGGTGGACTTGCCTCTTGGGCAGTGTTGCCCAATTGCCTTTATCTTTTGAGCAGCTTGTATCCCAATTAATGGCTTTACTAACAACAGCTCCTTCCTTTGGAGTTTGTTGAGCACCAACGTTGTCTGATGGAGTAGGTTCATATCCTTGAATCCTTGAATCCTTTTAGTGCTAGTGGTACCCACATTAACTACAGCAGAGCCCACAGAGTGGGATTTGGAAGTTTGTGATTTCATTTGGGAGGTTGGGTTGCTGTGACGTGGGTGGGCGAAAAGAGAAAGGAGGCTGTCAAAAAGGGTTTAGAAGATTAAAGGAATAGGCCAAGGTAAAGATAACAGAGAGGGAGACAGAGAGCAGTTTTCGGTTCAGATCTGTGGGGATTTGGCGAAGAAGAAGGTGGGAGGGAGGGTGGGTGGGTTCCAAGGGGGTTGGGGCCTAAGGTCTCTCATTACGACTAGTTCATCCACCCAAAAACTTACATACGTGATAAACAGTAACTGCTCCATGGTCTTTAATTATCCCATTAAATTTAGCAACGCCTTAGAATTGAAACAGACTATTAAATTCTATGAAAACTGAAATTCTAATAAAACTCAATTTAATTAGCACCATGTAAAGGATGAACTCTCAATCAGGATTCACTTGTTAGTGTGATTATGGTCATACATTTGATCTTGATTATCATAAAATTTACTAAAGAATGACCCAATTCTTATTGTCGTGGCCTCACAATTACTTTTACTTAGGTGAGTCCTCTAAAAGTACATATACATAATACCATGCAAAAAGTGTTCCTGTCTTGATCTTATTCAAGACAAAATCATTTCTTACCGTCCAACTAGATTTGCACCTCTATAATAGGGATGAACAAAAAAATGTATCCTCTAGTTTATTTTATCAATAACAATGCTAATGAGTCATGCAGTATGAATTGTTTCTACCCATTAAACTTTCTTCGTGAGGTCCCAATCGCAGAATATAGATAACCTTCTTAAGTGACTTCCTTGCAGGCTTAAGTCCATCTCTCTCTACAATTATGAGAGAGCTTTTCTCAAAAACAAGGCTCTTTCTCGAAAGATCGTTGATGAAATGTATCATCTTTTATATATTTTCTTATAAATTTTCTCGAAAAGCTCTATAATTATAGCTCAAGTTTATTTAGCTAAGATTTATAATTTCAATATAAAATAATAATTCTTAACAAAGTAATGCCTCGCTTGAGCGTGCATGCTTTCTTAATTCTTAGTTACATTGATTTGTCGTATCTTTCAAGATTACAAATCACAATCAATTTGTGTTAAGAGTACGTGAGGATCTCTTTCTTTCCGTATACTTCCACCGGACAGGCCATAATAATTTGCTTATATGTATACAACATGATACAAGTAAGTATTTTATCGTATTCAATTTCAAAGAATACTAAACACAATATCTTAGAAAGCTCAATATTTCTACACAATTATTGAGGGGAGGAGGCTTTTCTATTGGAAAATGGGACCCACCATGTTAAAAGCAACATATATAGAAGAAAAGAATAATGTTAAATGGACTTAAAAAATAAATTTAATAATTATAATCATTAATTTTACTGAGTCCTAATACTTATTAAGACTCATTATTTATTCAATAGTTATGATTATCAAATTTATTTTTTAAATCTATATAGCATTACTTTTTACGAAATTTCTATATATTCTTAAAGCAAGTCTTACATTGCTATTTTTATTCCAAAGCAAGACTTCTCAGTATTTTATTTTATTATGTAAAGGGCAAGATTTATGTTCTCGCTCTACCCTTATATTTTAGGTTATTAATAAAATTTCCACAAAGGGTAATTTTTTACTTCAGTAATCAGATCTATCATCATAATAAATACACTGAAATATATGTCAAACTCCATGTTGATGCAATATCTTATTAAAACTTATTATCTGAGAACTATTGGAATAAAGACATTCAATGCCACACAAGCAAAAGAATAATTTTTAGCTAAAAAAATAATTTACTATCTTATCTTGACTTAAATTTTATTTTAAGCATAATAGAATTTTATATTAGTTCTAGCTCCTATTTTTCTTTGAAACAAAACGAACATATACTCAAAACTAGGAGCGTTTGAGTTTTGAAGCATACCAAAAGCTCACATTGAGCATACCCCTTTCCAAACCTTTTCTGGTATAGCATGACCTCTACACACTAATAATATCATTATGAACCCCAACGAGATAAACTATCATGTTGTCATATCATTGGTAAATAAAATATAAATTATTTCTTACCTCCACATTTTCGATTGATAAATTCAATAGAAAATTAGATCACAGGCATAATAAAATGACAGTGCTTCTAGGTAATAGAAGTTTCTTCCAAACATTCACCACCAGTAAATATCAATGCATCATGTCAATGGAACATTCGAGTTGTCTAGTATACTAAATTATTGTTTATAATTAGTGTCTATAANAATTAGATCACAGGCATAATAAAATGACAGTGCTTCTAGGTAATAGAAGTTTCTTCCTAACATTCACCACCAATAAATATCAATGCATCATGTCAATGGAACATTCGAGTTGTCTAGTATACTAAATTATTGTTTATAATTAGTGTCTATAGCAGATAAAAATTGGTATATTATTTAAATAATGCCTATAATAGAGTGATTGTAGATACGATTGATATAATATAAAGTTTACTTTTAGTCGGAATAGAAGTCCAATGTCGTATCCAAAAATTGATGCTTATATGTCACTGGCTGGCATCACTTTGAAAACCNTATTATTTAAATAATGCCTATAATAGAGTGATTGTAGATACGATTGATATAATATAAAGTTTACTTTTAGTCGGAATAAAAGTCCAATGTCGTATCCAAAAATTGATGCTTATATGTCACTGGCTGGCATCACTTTGAAAACTCTAATCTCGAATGGAGACATACGATGTTCTATAGAGATGGTCTATGCTGTCAGCATATATATTCTGATAGAGAACCACATTAGGTTTCCATTCCAGACTATACAAGTTTTCATTACAATGACAATTTGTAACTGGAGAAATTAAATAGCAGCATAATTCATAATAATTAATTCTATTATGTACCATAAATCTAAAAATGGTAATTCTAATGTACCATAGTTTCTTCCTTACTGCTCTTTTTCTTCATTGTGAATAGGAAAATTTCAAATTTAATCATATATCAGGTATTATAATCACATTGGAGCATAAAGTGACGGTACAAGAAATAAAAGAAACCACAGCAATGTCTTGATTCCAAGGGTTAGACCAAATCTAGATCTACTATTTTTGTAGGCAAATACAAACTATTATATCAATCATTTCCACACGAAGTATATAAAAACAATGGGGTGAATATGGATTGTGAAACTTTAAAAAGTTAATTAACTTCTCTTTTTTTTTTTAGTTCAACGATCATGGGTGTCTAGGCCAGCTAGTTTACGCGCACATTGACTTAATCTCTTCTTCGGTCCAGTTAAAAGCATGTCATTTATGCAGAAATTAAGACATTCATGAGAGATAAATCTCTCGCAACCTATATTTTGAATATTAATTCTCAAAGAACTATGATTCCAAGCACGATAACCACTATACCAACAAATGAATAACAATTGAAATTATAATGGGTATGAACATTCAATATACACTTATGTGACATAACCGTCTAATAATTAATACTATGATTACATAGTCATATAACCATTAACTCAAAAACTGCACCNCTATACCAACAAATGAATAACAATTGAAATTATAATGGGTATGAACATTCAATATACACTTATGTGACATAACCGTCTAATAATTAATACTATGATTCCATAGTCATATAACCATTAACTCAAAAACTGCACTTGATTTATACGTTTAATCATCATTATAGCACTAATTCGTTCATGAGGCATGACAAAACAGTGAAATTTGTGAATTAAAAATAAATTCTAATAATATTTCAAATATTAAAAAAAAAAAACCAACAACATCACGTGTAAGTACCCAAACTTCAAATAAACGTATAATTTATATAATAAAGTACAATACAATTCAAATTTCAAAAGATAAACAAAATTACTTTTATTTTTTGTGGTTGAGATCTCTTTAAATTTTACTTTAAAGTTAATCTAACAGTTAATATTAATACCTCAAATTTAATAGAAAATATAGCTCTAAGAGTGTGTTTGGAAGACTTTTTAAAAGTACTTTATAACTTATCATAAGTTTATAAGTATTTAAAAAAAAATTAGTGTTTGGAATATTCCCATTACCACCACCATAACTACCCCCACCCCCCACCCCCCATAACCACTATCCTCACTGCCACCACCCCCACCACAATCACCACCACCAATTGTTATTATCGTCGTCCACCGCCACCATTCAGCACCATCGTCATTTCATTTTTATATTTATCACTACTATCATCATCATCCCGCTACTAATGTCACCCACCATCAACACCCCATCACCCACCTCTATTACAC